CAGTGACAGACCCTAATCTTAAAGTTGAATGGTTCAAAGATGGAAGACCAGTCACAATCGGTAAGGATTAATCACCCATCTTCTCATTTTCCTGTAAAAATAGGTTGTCTTTACCTCAACTGGCGGATTTCTTCCAGTTTGGTGATCACCAGTTTTTTATATGGGCATGAATTTACATATCCCTAGCTGAGAGGTAGGAATTTCACCAAGTACTGTGAAGTAATGCTGTATTGTGGCAAGACACTTTAGAGATAGAGGAATGATGTTAAGTGCCATTTGATTCAAAATGTTAAAAAACAGGTCAAATAATGATTTGTAAAATGGTCTGAATGTATTAGGATTCTATTGAAGAAGGAGACATGAAGGCTTCAAAATCCTTAGTATCAGAGAAAAAATTGCAAAATTTTCCAGATCAAGATATAATAAATGTATTGGAATTTGTAATTTAATAATCTGTTAATTCCATTAATTGAATTTGCATTGAACAGACATAAAATTTAAAAATTCAACTCATACATTAAATTATGAATTATTCTTTTTCAGGGCATAGGTTCCGACCAATCCACGACTTTGGTTATGTGGCTTTGGACATCATCGACCTTATAGCAGAGGATTCTGGCACTTACATTTGCCGTGCCTCAAACTTAGTTGGCGTTGATGAAACCAGAGTCACATTAACTTGTCGTTCCTCAGCCCAAATTGTGACCTCAACCCAAAATGAGGTTGGTCTTGAACAGATCCACTATTTGGAAGACCGTGCGCGGTACCAGCGTCGTGAAGATGTTGAGGAGACAACGTCGCAAGCTCCGATTTTCACTACATCGTTGAAAAACTGTGATATCAAGGAAGGCCAGCGAGCACATTTTGAGTGCAGAATTATTCCTGTCTCTGACCCCACAATGAAGGTGGAGTGGTTCCACAACAATGTTCCGCTAAAGTCAGGTATGTGATTGATGTTTACTTTCCTTTCTTGGTAAAAATGTATTTAAATGTGGTTCAATTGTTTATCTTTATGAAGTTCCATAAGCAGTTGTATTTCTCATAATAATGAGTTTTTCTTTGCCCGGAAAATAGTTTTTGGACTTCTACAAAGGTGTTGAATTCATCTTAATAAAGTTCTGGCAGTGAAAGCGCTTTTTTGGTCATAGTGGCCGCACTGATGTGAAAAAGATATATGAAAATATGATTATAATTTTGCTATGTACATGTCACAAGATTACTTTAAATTAAGGTATTGTAGAAGCTACCTAGGTCTTTATGGCATACATCCAAAATTTTGGGTTTTGTAAGTTTTTATTTTTTATCAATAGTTAACAAGATACCAGTAAATGATGTCAACCTCATACTCGTGCTTTTTAAGCTCTAATAATATGTGAAAGTTTGCCTCCAAAAAGGCGTCGTGGAACAATTCCTTTTTGTGCAAATCGCATTTGAAACTTTGAGCTCAAAGTGGCTTTGCATATTTTTGCCTCTAATTCTTAGATGCTGTTTAATTGATTTTTAAAACAAAGACCAATTTTACAATACACCCTTTTTCGGCAAACTCTTCAAATTAGTAAGTCGTCTGTCTGTGAACAAAATATTCATGTTGATTCAGGGATGCAAACCTTTTTCTGCCAAGGTTTTGTACTAACTCGTTGTTTCTATTTTTCACAGGTTCAAGATTCACTGAGACAAACAACTTTGGTTTTGTTGCGCTGGACATTACACACTGTTTACCAGAAGACTCTGGAACCTATACTTGCAGAGCATACAATATCTTGGGTGAAGCTGTTACCTCAGCTGCCTTAAATGTTCAGTGTAGGTATCAATTTTCCTATTAGGAGAAGATCATAAAAGATTGACTTGGGGTCAGCCATTGAACTGGAAAAAAAAAAAATTATGCCAATGAATTAAAAGATATTACCTAATTGTCATAATATGAAAAAATAAATGAAAGCCCAAGGTGCACTTTTTGTAGATTTAGGGGCCAAGTTTCTTTCAATATTTTACTAGTTTATTGCATGGCTGCAGGTAAGTTTTTGTGTGCAGTGAACCTTCATGTAGTCACTCCTTCCATGGTTTCCTTTGGCGGATTGTTCAAATATTTTAGAACATTTAAAAAATTACAAAACGAAGTTGCCTTCAACTGGTTTTCTACCTATGTTATTGATAAATTGTCTTTTCTAATTTCAGCCAAGAAATCCATTTTTGTTGAATCTCATCATGAAGATGCTCTGAGCCGCCTTCACCAGCTGGAGGACTCTTCGCGCTACCATCGCTCTGCTGTAACAGAGGAGATTGTTAATCAAGCTCCTGTTTTCACACAACCTATGAGAGATTTGAGAGTCGCAGAAAACCAGGCTGCTCACTTTGAGGCTAGGCTTATACCTGTAGGTGATGCCAGGCTCAAAGTTGAGTGGTTGAGAAATGGCGTCCCCATCACTGCATGTAAGTTGATTAAAAAATGTATGCTCATGCTTCGTTCAAAAATTCTTCTCAAGAGAGTCAACGATACTTTAAGCGATTAACTTTGCATTATTTTGAAGTTTTTCCATCTTATTTATCATTACTTTTTTGGTATTTGCCCATAAAAATGAAATGACAATACTTTACCTACTTGAAAGTTCCATAGTATATGTTTGTGATCCTCCATTCTGTCAAACTAGCATAATAATTAACCAAATATTTTGTCAATCATCAAGGTTGCTCATACTGGTCGAGACTATTGAAAGACTTGTTTCAATGATGAAATGAGCATTACAAATAAAATGCATTTGCAAAGTTTATAAATTAAAAATATTATATTGAATAAATTAATTTCTTAGTTTAAAGTAATAATATTTATTAGTATTTTCATAAAACAAACTCCGTGTCAACCATACATTTAATTAATCCAATTATTCTCCTTCTTATTGCAGCGAATCGTGTCACAACAATGCACGATTTTGGTTATGTGGCACTGAACATGAAGTATGTCTACCCTGAAGATTCTGGAACTTACACTTGCAGAGCCGTGAATGATTTGGGTCAAGCCATCACCTCTGCAACATTAGTTGTTCAATGTGAGCACCTCCTTTCTTTTTTTCTCTCTCTATCTTTCCCTTCATAACTTTATACTTTCATTAAACATTTTGAGAATTAATGCTACTCTTTTTGAACACTCCTCTAGATGAGAGTAACATTAAAAAATAATCAGTCCCAATTTTCCTTGCTTGATTGCAAGCTTTGGCTTCACAAAGACAATGTATTCGCCATCCTCTTGTTTTACATCCATATTGTTGAAATCTATCTATTTTTCTTTCCGCACTATAGCCAAAGCATCTCTGCAACTGGACACCCAGCATCAAGGCGCTCTTGAAAAGATACAAACGCTAGAAGGACAAACAAAATACCAGCGAAGAGAAGAAGAAGAAATCAAAGTTACGCAAGCTCCCAATTTCACTGTTCAGCTAAATGGCCCTACAGAATTAGTTGAGGGACAGAATGCCCACTATGAATGCCGTATTGAGCCGTACCCTGATCCTAGCTTGAAACTGGAATGGTATCACAACGGAAAACCATTACAAACAGGTTTGATTCTCAATAAATTCAAGTTATCATGCAGATTTTTTATTGCATCTTAAATGCTTGTTAACTAGCAATTACAAAGGTTTTTAATTTTTTTTAAAAAAAAAAGAAAACCTATGAAATGTGAAGAGCAAAGGTTTCAGAATTTAGCAGAGTATTAATTTTTCTTT